AATAAATAAATGATACTCGATTCTCAACAAGTCAAATGTAAAAGGTTGAACATAAAAAAATCAGTCAACAAAAACAATTTCAAAAAAATTAAAACATCAGTGAACCCGGACAAAGCCACCAAACCTCATGAGCCAGATAATACGAAAAGGAAAACCTTTTGGAAAAAAAAACAACAAAAAATATGAAACTCAACTCTCAAAGAAATAAAATGTTAAATGGTGGAACCAAAAAGATATTTAGTGTTAAAACAATGACTAGAAAAAAAAAAAGATTCGAGCTAACTTGAGCAAAACTACCAGACATGCGACCTAGATCAGGGCACAGAAATGACCTTATAGAAAAGAAAGAGAAAACAAGTATGAAGTTCAATCTCTAATAAACTCAGTGTTGAAGGATGATGTCGAAAAAAACCGATGTAAAAAAAAGATAAAAAAACAAATTGATGTCAGCCCAAGTTAACATTTTATACTCATGACCTTTAAGACCAGGATTACAGCACTGAAAAAATTATGAAGGCTAATTTTCAATTAACTCGATATTAAATGATGAAATTGAAAAAAATCAAATTTAAAAGAGGATATAAAGCAATAAAAAAATAACAATTAAAAGAATAGATCCCAAATTAATTTGGCATAAAAATAAAATAAAATAGAATGTTGATGGATGAAAATGGAAAACAAATACAATTAAAAAGGATAAAAAATAGTAATAAAAAATAAGAATTAAATTTTACAAAAAAAAAATCAAATGAAACAAATGTTAATGGACAATGTTGAAATAAAATAAATAAAAAAATATTCAAAAGAAAATAAAGATCAATAAAAAAATTATGATAAAACTTGATATAATAAAAAAAAATAACATGACATATTTACAATTTTTCATGCCAGTGCAAGGCTACTCATAGTTATTACCTTAATATTAAAGAAGAGTTTGACCCTAAAGGAAAGAATAGAAAAAAAAGGAGAGAAGAAAAAATGAGAAAGATTTATAGCATTGAAAATTAAGTAAACCAATAAACAAATATCTAATGCTCTAGAAAAAATTCAAATTCAAAATAATTATTTAAAATAAAATAAATAAAATAAAATAGTCTTCATGTTAAAAATTTTCCATATAACCTAAATCTCTAATTTTTTAATATTCTTGGCAGATTTGTGTTCTAATTTAAAATATATTGTTCTTTCTCGTCTAGATGAATTACTTGGCCTACGATATATTGTTGAAAAGCTTCAAATGTTTGGTTTTCTGCCAACTTTAATCACATAAAAAGTCCATCGATAACTCCATAAACATCTTAAATAGTGCACAAAGGTCTAGTTTGATATATTTAACAAGATTCGTATATTAAATTTAACCATCTAAAATATTATGTTGCCGAACTTAATTTTATCTGAAAATTTACCATAATATATTATCATATGTCTAATATTTCCCTACAAATTTTTAGCTTTATCCAATGCACACTTTGAAAGATATGTTCAATCTCACAAAACTAGTTAGCAGACATTTTAAGGTTAAATTTGAACTTGACTTGGTTTATATCACAAATTTAGTGAGCTCATAAAATCAAACCAATTTTACCAAGTTTTCTAATTTTACTGATTTTACACAAGTTCAGTCTGGTTTTACTAATTTTTGAGTTTTTTGTTTGATTCTGCACATTAAATACATGTTGACTCATAAAATCGTAAGATTTTAAGAGTCAACTTGTGATTTTAACAACAATGGCCAAAGTCAACTTGTGATTTTAACAACAATGGCCTTTATCATTATTTTAAAAAAAATTCACTCAATCCTTGTTGGATAAAAAAATTATGTTTGTCAGAGGAAGACTATGCATTCGGAAATATAAGGCTAAAATTGTCTCTAATTTCCTTGAATTATAAAAAAACCTTTCCAATACAGAAATTCATGACACAAAAAGGAAGCACAATTTGATGACATGGAAACACTTGTTAAAATAATCTCAATTGTTGCCACATATATTTTTCTTGTAGAAAATAAGTTATTGCTAAATAAGAAGTTCATAAATAATAAGAAAACAAGTAGCAAAACCTGTACAACTTATTGCATGTATCATGATATCTATCCAAACTTTAATTGACCTAACATTTTAACCTAATATACAACAAGATTTCTAGAAATCTCTGGTGTACCTTTAGATCGATCTAATAGTTGAATTGAGATCTTTATCTTTTTATTGAGTTGATTTTTAACTTTATTTTTGTAATATTTAAATATTTCGATAGTATTATTGTTGCTTTTAAGGAAATAAATATAGCAATATCTTATGCAATCATCTATGAAGTAATGTAATACTTTTTTTCCTCTCTAGTTTGCGTAAATTTTAAATCACTAATATTCAAGTGAATTAAGTACAAATGTTCATTACTTCTTTTAATTGGTTAAAAAGAAGATATTATGAATTTTGATTTTACAAAAACATCACATTTATAATTTTACTCATAAACCATACTTAATTAATCTTTATATATAATTATAATTCATATATCCTAACTCGTCATAACACAAATCACAATACTCAAACAAATAAAAAGAAAAGGCATCATCATCATCATCAATTATAGTGATCATATTACATTTGAATAGGTTTAAGATACTTTTTTTTTTTACAAACCTTTTATTTGTAAAGAGTACAAATTAGTTACTCTAAAATACCATCTTGAAATTTTATTTGCTCAACAATGAGTAAGACATTAAGTTTTTTTTAATGTCAGCAACATGAAATATATTGTTAATGGTGAAAAAATTTTCAAAAGTCATCTTCAATATGATCTTCCCATAACTTTGTTCCTTAAAGGTAGATAAATTATCCATGTATAAATGTTCTCTATCTATTTTTTTGTAATTAAAAAAATTCTCTTCTCGACACATACATGTCTACATGTCTTATGGCACCAATATTAACCCATCATTACTCAAAATTATTAATCAGGTTGACTTCGAAAATAATAGCAAACAAGTTCATTTATAAAAATGTATTTATAAGATGATCTATATTGGTGATATTGGTTTGATAAACCCTTTTCTTTTTAGGGTTCCCTTGTGCGGAACCAATTTTACAATCCTTAACTGGGTTTTCAGTCTTGTTGCAGATAAAGCATTTGCTGTTGAACTTAGTAATAATTCTCTTCCTCTTCGCAACAACCTTTTTCTTTTGGTTTTTATTATGAAAATTTACCACTTATTCTACATTTTTTTTCTTTAGGACCCATACTAGAAGAATTGGCTCTTTTTTTGAATAACTTATTGTCATGTTTTATTCTCATCCTTAAAATAAGATCATCAACTCTTATTTTCTTGTGCTTATACTTAAAATGGTTCTTAAAGTCTTTTTAAGATAGTAGCGATTTTTCAATAATTGTTGCTATTTAAAAGGATTCGCCTAGATACATATCTTCAACATTAATATTATGCAAGATGAGTTGAAATTCTTAAACTTGTCTTGTAACAATCTTTGAATATATGATTTTAAAATCCAAAAATATATAGATTATGAATTTTGACATCTTTAGCCTTATATTTTTCATTCAAATTTTTTCATAGAGCCTTAACACTGTTAATAGAATTACACACATTATATATTATCATATCCATTCAAGATGTAATTTTAATAAAAGCTTGAGATTATTATCTAAAACACTAGACTAATAAGGAAAGATGTTTAGTATATCATTATAAGAGTAAACTAATCAAATTGGTTATCAAGTATAGAGAAGAATTCATACAAGTTTAATTTATAAGTATGCAATATTATATATCATGGCAAACATGCAATTAAAACTAAACATCATAAAATATTCTAGCATATAAACTAAGTGTATATCCAAAATTATATAAAAGATTGAAACATGATCCTAGCATACATACTAATCATTTAATAAATTAAGTTTAAGATAAAACAATACAGGGCACTTACTTGTTAAAGTACTTAAATCTGATTAAATTAAATTTAGTTATTGTTAAGGATTAATTCTTTGTTTTTAAAGTTTTATTGTTAAAGCACTTAAATATGTTAAATTGAATTTAGGATGTATGCAATAAGACTTAAAATTCTAATAATATCACATTATTTAAATACACTTCTAAAAAAGGTGCATAAATTAAAATAAATATAACTTGGATGTCTTTCTAAAAATACTAAACATAAACTCTAGATTAAAAGTATAATCAAAGAAAAAAGTAGGGAGCTTAAAACATAAAAGAACAAGTTGAAAAATAAAGGTTAAGAAAAGTCTATAAAATCTAAAGAGAGAAAATAGTGCAGAAACACTTTTCTCATCCTTTTTTGTATAGAAAATTTTGGAGCTAAAATTGATAAAAAAAAAATTAAATTTTATGAATTAATTCATATCATTATCAACCTTAATTATCATCATCAAACAATATTATACTTGATGATTTTTAGCTTTAAATCTTAAATTTTTTAAAAAGAATGTTCAAGTTCATGGAAAAATGAAACTACCTAATCAAATTTTTATTCATGCTCTAAACAAACTAATAGGTTAGAAAAAAAAATAATTCTTCTTCCACCAAAAATTTATAAACCCAAACTCAAGACCAAGTAGATTAATAGCAAAAAATATTTATTTTATAATTCAAAAAATTATTTTATTTTTCAAATTTGACCCAAAAGCCTGAATCACACTTTCCTTATTTGAAATTAAAAAAAACTATTTAATCATATTAATTTTAAAATAAATAAAAAATTATTTGAAATCAATTTTTTATTCTTTATAATTTATTATAATCATACTAATTCTTCGTATAGATTATATTAAAAAAATAAATTTCTACAATTTTAACCTAAAAAATAAATAGACCCCATTTTTAATTTGATTTTAAATGTATTCATTAACCATGATTAAAACAAAATTCCAACACCTTCTTCTGTTTTTTTTTATGCACTAATAAATAGAAAAACGGTTAACCTTTCCGGTATCTTTTATCGAGTAGCTGTTCTGGAACACAATTCTAAGGAAGAACTGCCACTTAACCTTATAATTTATAGAGTCGAAGGTTACAAGCAAAATCCAACTACGAATATGAGCTCCAAGAACGACTTGCAGAAGCAATATAATGTTCGATGGGGAACCCGATTCGCAGAACCATAAACAACTAAGGGATGGATGGATGGATGAAATTGCACTAGAAGCAATTGTATGCACATGCAAGACACTAATTACATTAACACCATAGCTAAGAATGCTCTCAAGGTTTTGCAACAAACAGGACAACCCATACTGGATATTCTGGTTAGGAAAGTATACAATGTTTACATACATGCTGGGCTCCTTCACCTTTGTATGCAGCCAACTGAATCGATCTTCATGCCAAAGATGTAGACAGTGCCATCAACCACGTTGGTCTCGTACTCCCTGAAAGAAAATCGAGGGAGACAATGAGATCAACAAACCATGGTATATATTTTGTATACACAAATGCAACAGAAAATCTTACAATACACATCCTGGTAAAAGCAGATGTAACCAATCTAACTCCACTAACTCAATCTCCTAATCCTCCATTCTTGAGAATAGATAAAATATTTGAGAACATAACTACATTTCCTTCTAGTTTCAATCCATGTAATGACCAAATAATAATAAAACTATAACATCATTAACATTTAGAAATTGCATTTCAGGTTGGCTGACTAGAAATTCGACAGAAGACTGTCAGTATTTACAAAAAAAGGCCAGACCAGAAGGTCAGTATTCCAACCAGAGTTCCATGTAAACCCATAAATTATGTATCAACTCCTAAAGATGACAATTATGAATCTAAAGCTCAGTTTGATCACATGGTTAAGAATCACTTTCCTCAAATTTTATGATTTGCCGGAAGACATTTTCATGCATGGGCAAAGTAGGCTAAAACTCCGAGCAGAGTTCCATGCTACACTAAATTATTGGTCAACACCCAAACTGAACACCTCCAGCATCGGCCACAATTCTCAAAATCAGAAAAGCTAATGTCTGACCATGAAGTATCTAAATCTGGCAAGAACCACCAAAGCAGAATGATGAAACTTTTTTCTTTTTGGTGTTAATGCAATGAAGATGTATATCGTACCTCAGCTTGTGAAGAGATGATAGATTCCCTGTCAAAATCAAAGGGCCATTAATCTCCTGCAAAGTTGCCAAATGAAATACAGTGGTCCACAGAACATGAGTAGTCAGTGGAATACCTTGGCCTCTCTGACTTCGCAAGATGCTTAGACATTATAGATGCCTGCAACAAAACCCAACAATTATATTCCTAATATCATCAAACAATAAACAACAACAAAATGGCAGGATAATAATACTTCTAAACTTCTAGGTGTTTTAAGTGTAACGATATTATGTTCGAAATGAAAAGATGAAAAACATCTTGAAAGGTGTGATTCATCACCAAAAAATACAGTATTGTTATCAAAACAACTTCTAAACAAACGAGAGAACCTAGATGACAAAATTTTAGAGAAAATGCAATAAATATATTTGAACAGATAAGTCAAGGGAGGGGAGACAACAAAAAAATAAAAAAGAACAGAAAGAACTAGCGCAGCCTCAATGCATCCAGATAGCTTAGTAGTCAACAATAAGCTGCTTTAAACCCAAATCTGATTTTTTGCTTAATCAAACCCTTCAATGATAAACGAAAAATAACAGCAAATCAATTGTCTTATAGATCACTTAGCCTAAATAGCAACTAAACTAGAATGCTATAATTTATGATGTTTGAACAATGGCAAATACCTGCTCCTGGATTATGCTTCTTGCCTCAACAAGTTGAGCTTCGAGCTCTAGTTCTCTCTCAGTCGCTTCAGAAGTGACTTCTGCTCCTTTCTGTGCATCTTGTAGTTGAACCATACGCTCCTTCAAATTTACAGAAGTATAAATGTGTCAACAATTTGATGTGGCCAAGACTATGGATCAACTCCCAAAGTTACTACTTTATGAATCTAAAGATGAGAATGATCACATAGTTCAGATCCAGATGAAGTCTCAAATTTTGAGATTTATCAGAAATTAAAATATTCACTTGCTGGCAGAGTAGCTGGTCAATACTCCAACAAAGTAGAGATATAAATGAAAATACCTTTATGGAAGACATCTTGGTTCGGAGACTTTCTTCAATTTGATCTCTAGCCATGTGAAAAGGCAAGTCAAACACATCCTGTCAATTAGGAAGCATTTAATGATTACAGACAACATTAGACCCATTAAGTATAAACAAAAAAGCATCCTTTAAGGAGTTCTCATACCGTCCTCCCACCCAAGGGAGATTGTGAGGGGTCTGTTACAGGTCTCTCACTGGCAGGTGGAGATTGCTTGGATGACCCATTTGGTGCATTGAAGAAATCACGCATATCAACCTGTAAGCCAAGCATGCCAACTGAGGTTAGAATTTGTTGCCACAAGAAAAATCAAAGATTTTAGTACAACCCACTAATAATTGAAGACTTGATGACTAAACATATTGAAGCCATTTATTGTTGTCTAATTTTATATTTATTTTCTTCAAAGAGAGTTCTTCCTAATATCTTTATTTAGCTGAAATAAGAGATCCAGGGGCAAGCTGATTTTCAAAGTGATATAAACTTCATTTATTGCACCTGTGATCATAGATTCTAGCACTTGGAATTTCTGCTCTACAGACAAAGGATTAAGACTAAGGATATGGAAAAAATTTGGGAAATGAAGGGGGAAAAAAGGCTTACAGACACTAAGTTGATATGAAAAACTACTGTCAAACAAAATATACCAACCCATTCTCTAAAAAAATGTTATGACTTGAAAAACACAATTTTTACGATGCTCTAACTCACTCTACACCCACCAAAACAAGGAAGAAGCTAATGAAATAACAAAAATAGCATGCATAAAAACAGTGGCAGAGTGATGAAAATCTACCTGCATTGACCGCAGCAACGCCCTTAAATCATTATTCTCTGCCATTAACTCTTGATTTTTAGCCTCACAAGCATCCACCTGCCAATAGCATGTTGTCAAATACAACTCGCTAACATAATTGTTAAATAAGCCAGTCAACACACTTACAATTTTCTTGTAGAAATCATTATCAGCCTTCTTTCCATTCCATGTCCCACGCTGCCGCCCTTCTTTCTGTTTAGAGAATCAATCAGATAGGCGATATCATCTTTGCATCAGAAGAACTCAAAAATTATATCACATTGAAACAATGTACTAAATGAATTAGTACCTGAAGCAAATTCATTATCTCCATGCCTGATCGTGATTCCTTCTTTTTCTCCATTAACACTTGGTTTAGCCTCTCCTGCAAATAATTAAGAGAATTACCATTGCTGTTGTTGGTAACTTGTGTGCTCATGCAACCCTGCACAATTCTGTTTGCAAAAGAGATCCTACCTGCAACTTTATGTACTCTTTTTCTTTTTTCTTCATTTCATGTATTTGTTGAGTCCTCACTTGCTTTAGCAGCAACAATGCATCACATCAACAATACTCATCAAGTTCAGAACATTTTCCACTAATAGTAAGCAAGCAAAGAAACTTAAAGTGAGTTTAAAGCACACTAACCTGATTACCAATTACCATCCTTTGAAATTCATCACGTTCTTGTTGGAGCTTTTCAATTTGGGCCTTAAAAGCTGCTGTAGCTTTGGCTTCCTATTGATAAATTAGCACCACAAACATCAAAAATTGATCAATCATTCTAACTTGACATAATTTCATGTCATAAAACTAAAAAAGCCCTGACCGTTCTAGTTATTGTCGCTATCTCTCTATCTTTGGCCTGTAACTGCGACTCAAGCCTCTCAACCTTAGTTTCCAATCTCGATATATCTGATAGTAGTCTACAAAATGTAGAAACATAGATTTAAGCATCCAAATACCATACCAACACCATATAAACAATGAGAACTAAAATTAAGTCAAACAATTGAATGCTGAATGCAGCCCGTCAATCCACATAAAATTTACACATGTACTCAGAAAGTAAACTTAAAATTAATAAAGTGACTCTTCAGAAACTAACACCCCAAGTTTCTACCTCTGTCTCTGCTCACTGGCAGATTCTCTAAATTCAACGTCGCGCTGCCTCTGTTGAAGCAAAGAGTAAATGCAGTTGCAGGTTCGGGCGGTTGAAACCTAATCACAACAAATTTGACAAAAATCACATAGAATTTAACAAGAATAAAATGCGAACAAGAAAAAAGAAGTAAAACAGACCGGATCATTAGCGAAAAGATCAAGAGAGGCAGGGAAACCAAAGGTAACAAGAGTCTGATTCAAGTACTTTGCACAATGCTCCAGGTTATTCACATCAGCAAATGTATACTCTCTGCACAGTCAGAGCAAGCATGAGTGCGTGCGCATTTTGAAATCGATAAGAAACCCTAGAAATTAAAGCAAACTTACCCGATTGAGAAGGCAGATGCGGGAGAGGACTGCAACGAAAAGAGAGAGAGTCAAGAGATACATACAGGGAGTGAAAATGAAAGAGCATGAGAGAGAGAGAGAGATCGTACGCTGAGATCGAAGTCAGTATCAGAAGTTGGCATTGCTGCTGCTGCTTGCTTGAGAGAGAGAGAGAGGGAGAGAGGGAGAGAGTTACTGGATGAGGAGGAAGGGAGGAGTATAAACTATAAATTGTATGTGTCTTGTCTGAGTGATAGATCTGGCAAAGGGGAGTGGTGGGCAAATTTTTTGAAAATTGAGAATCACGGGCTCGTTTGGATTTCGGACTTTCTTTAAGAGGCTGAATCTTGTGCAACCGGATCTTTTTTATATAGGATGCCAGTGTTCTGTTTATGACATGGCGCTGATTTATTGGACAATTGTTTGTTCAATGGGTGAGTATGGTTGGACAATTTTTTGTTGGAAGACATGTGGAGGCAGTAATGGCACCATGATCCCTGTCAGCCAGCTTTCATCGTCACCTACTCACCCCTGTTAACAATTGAGATATTTTTATGTTCTTCGCATATATATTATTCTACTATTTTATGATTTTATTTTTATTTATAGATTATTTAAAAAAATTATATATAAATGAATTAATTTCAGCGTGTGTTAGATTAAAATATTTGAAAAGTATGAAATTAATTTTGAAAGTACTAAAATAAAAAAATATATCACGTTGACTTAATAAATCATTGGATGTTAAACATTTACTTTGCATTTTAATATTATGAAATTTTCACGTTTTTCCAACCACAATTACTATCATTATTACAATATTTTTTGTCAAAAAAATTATTTATTCAAATAACACCTATTTATATTGCATGGATGGATAAGATGGATGGGGTGAGCAGAAATTTTATCCAGAGCCCTGTTAAATCTTAATACAACAATAGTAACATTAGTGTCATACAATTTGTCTTATTTATTTATTTATATATAACATGAATAGAAATTAATAAAAAAAAAAATTATGAATTCCTTTTTGTTAGATAATGTTTTTCATTACTAACTAAATTTGTCCAACAAAATAATGTAAATATTATAATTATTTTCATCGGATGTAAAGTAAGATAATAGTAAAAATTATCTTAATAAAAAAAATTCAATTCAAGATTCAATTTATATTTATACAGCTGGATGACACATGCTTGCAAATGCAAATATCTCTATTAAATAATATTTGTTTATTGTACCAAGGAAAAACAGAAACAATAGAAATAAAGGAGACATGATATAAAATAGGATAATAAAAAAAATGTATTTGACAATGATGTATAAAATAAAATGATTATATATATATATATATATTATATTTAGTTATGATAAAAAAATATAAAAAAATTATTTTAAAATTAAAAGTTCAAGGCGAAATTAAATAACTTCAAGACTTAGGTACACAATTAAAAAGATGTTGAAGTTCGAGGGTTTAATTGAAAAAATCTAGACACATAGTTAAAAAAATTTCTAAAGATTAATGTTCGAGGGTTTAATTGAAAAAATCTAGATACATAGTTAAAAAAATTTCTAAAGATTAATACTAATTAGAGATGTTATTGATAAATAAAAAAAAGATAGAGACTAAAACTGACCTGAAAAGGTTAACATCCTAATTATCATGGGATAAAAAAATGATATTGTTTCATATTTAATAAAATAATGTGTTTCGAAGAAAAATGACATCATTGTACTTATACGTTAAACAACAAAAAAAGACCATATAACTTGTCATCTATTATTGTTCATTGCCTTCTTTATTGATTTCTCCTATTTTGAACTTGGAAAAAATTTGTTTGAGTAGCCATGTTAGCAGTCATAGTTGGACCAAACCTTCCCTAAACTTGTGTTAGTTGTGGGTGCCAGTAGTAAGATTTTATTTTTAAAAAAATTAATAATTATTATCAATTTTATTAGGATTTCTTCCAAACATTATATCAAGTTACATCATGTTCAAGTTATAAAAATTATATATATTGAAACTATCAGAGAACATTAGATTGAGAGAGACTAATCAAATTAGTAATTTATATCATAATAAATCTACTCGGTAGAGCTCTCATTTTAATTTTATTTACAGTTTAATAGATATGTATGATGCAATTATTACCATGTTTGAAAAAATGACACAGTAATGATCTTTTAACTTTATATGTTGAGAAGTTGGTGGTTGTTTAATTGTTATGAGATCCTTGAAATTTATATTCATCTTATGTTTGATGCATAAAATAATGAGGATTACTAATTTACTTTATCGAGTTTTACAGCAAAAATCTCTTAACATCTTAAATGCAATGGGTTTTACATCAATTACTAAAGTATTGCTTCGAACTTTGAGAAATGCTTGATTTGATTTTATCCTTGCACATATGCAATCTTTTTCACAAAATATTAAACTGGCATACATATGTGAATGCTTTATATAAAAAGACTATAGGTTATTCATATCAGCAACAAAAATCTGTGGTAGTTTACTAACACTATCATTATTGTATATTTAATCCAACAATAAATTTTCAACTATAAGAGTTCAATTCTAGATTTAGTGTGGGATAGTGGAACTTGTTATATTTATATTTGCTTTAGAACTTAAAGACAACTTTAAATTATTTAAAATTGATGTTATTTGCAAGTTTGTTAAGAAATTTTATCTTAAAGATTTTAATTAATAAAAGATGTATTATTTAAGAACTCTACTATATTATTAATGTCATTCATCATGAGATCTTTTAGAATATACCTACCATTCTTAAATTATATTAAAGATTAGTTAAGACAATAAATTATAACAATATTATTTGATTGACAGGTTATTTCATCTTATTTTGACTTTGCATATTTTTACTGTCACTTCAAAGCAAGCATTTTTAGCTATGAAGCATGTTAGGAGTTTCTAACAGATTATATAATATTAAATGAGAGTTTGCTAAAAGATAATAATTTAGATTCAATTATAAATAAATTATATTTCATAAAATATTAAATGGTGCAACTTTAACAGTGCAGTTTATTTTTTGTTTTTTAATTTTATATACTTTGAATTTTATTTTTTTATATTTTGTATTATATATTTAAACTGAAACTTTATTCTTAATTTGAAAAATTTATATTTATAAATTAATTGTTGGTCTTGGAAAAAATTTGTCATTGCTTAGTAGCCGGAGGGGGAAAAAACTCCTGGCTACGCCCTCGCTTTTGAAGAGGAGACGCCGCTGGGCAAATCCTTTTAACTTCAAGACTGCCGATCCCTCAGGTTTTGCCAGGTACAGGGTTGTTTATTCTCTTTTTATGTTTTTTTTATTGTGCCATCAACCCATGATCATGTTTTCTTTGGCACCATGTTTTGTTTTTTCTTTTTATGCTGAGACTATGAAGTGTGAACTGTAAAATAGCATGGACGGGATTGTAAGTTTCCCGGTGAAGGAAAGTTGGTAAGGGTTCACTGTCTTGTTTTTGTTTGTCAGCACGGTGGAGAAGCTTTAGATAGCTTTGGAAATACAAATCAATTCTTGTTTTTAAAATATTTATTATTTTTATTATAAATTAAATTTTTATATTTTATATTGTTTGGATGTGTTAATTTTAAAAATAAAAAAATTATTTTAATAGTAAAAAACATTTTAAAAAGCTACCTTACTTTCAAACTACCAAACTTTCAAGTAACAAGAGGAATCTTGGATTAAAAAAAAGGATATGTAAGTGCTCAAGCACTTTCTACCGAAAAGGAAGGAATCACTCTCACTTTTCAAGCAAAGTAATGCACCCAGCTGCTACATATCCTTCTTGTGCTGTGCGTTGATTTTCAAGACATGGGAAGCCCCATTTAACAGCGTTGGAGCAAGGGCCGATTGAGGGTGATTTTCCTTCTTTGGTCTTTTAAGCTGAACTCATGAGATTGCAAGATATGAAGTTCAATTAGACAAGTACATGTCCTTAAGTGAAAACGGGCTTCGTAAGCCAGTTTCTATGGGCTTGAGTTGATAAATAGCGTGCCTTAAACAAGGCCGAAGGTGGAGATGGGAAAGAAAATGCTTTCTGGACTTGTTTCCAGGCCCAGTTCTCGGAGTAGAAAAGATAAACCAGATTTGAAGAAATTCTCTCCTGGCTTAAGGAATGTTGTGTGAGCTGATTCTCATGTCGTGGTCTTCTGTTTTAATTCAGATTTCACAAGTGAATTGCATATAAGTTATATGTTTATTTATTTATTATAATAAACCACAATCCCTCTAATATTTTCACTAAAAATCAAGGACACGATAAATAAAGTTATATATATATATATAAGAACAAATAAGTTAATTACTGTATTTAGAGTAAGGGGAATCTTTGGATATTAAAACATATCATTTGCAAATCATATGATTTTATTTTTTTAGTCTCGATGGAGGGACGGATTGAATAAATATAATTTACTTAGAATTAAATAATACACTTGGAGATATAATAATAGTAACAACTCATAGATATTTTTATTGCGTTTAAAACAAATAATTCAACCCATAATACAGGGCATTGCAATTATCTAGTTATATAAATAAAACTTGAAATGCTTTCCTATGTTTATAATCATGGTAGTGAAAGGGCTTGTGTATATTTATAATTATGAAGATGTGGAAGTAGCCGCTAACACGAAAGGAGAATAAACACGTGCACACAACATTCTAGCCTATATTTCCTTCTTTTAAAAACCACTCAGACTGTTTCCATCGATAAAATTTCAACCGGCATACGCAGGACTAGGACTTCGAGCCGGCGATGATGCTGATCATTAATTGGTCTTATTCAACGAATTCTTCACCGGTAAAATCGATGCGGCCCTCAATTGCTGGATCACGTCTCTGTAATCCCGAAAGAAAGAGAAAGTGTGTGAAACTTTTCTTGTCGAGGCCAGCTATGCTGAAAATGAAGGGCAGCATGCATTAAAGTCTTGTACGTAGTAGAACTAGCAAGGAAAATCTTGGTGTAGAAAACAATCTCTACTAGGGAAAAAATCAATACACGGAGGCCCGGTTGTTTGTTGGTTGTTGGAAAGCCGAAAGCACCGTGGGGGCGTTTATAAATGCGGTAGCGATAATAGTTACTGATTTTGAAGAATTTTTTTTGTTAAAAAATATAGTAAAATAATATATATATTTTTTATATTGGAATATCTGAACAATTTGAAAATAAAAAAATTAAATTTTAAGCAAAATAAATTCAATACTTTGAAAATTAAATTTCAACCCCGTTCTCAAGCATTATCTAAAAGTGGAGACCCGCCACACCATACCATGCCATGCATGCATCT